AGACCAGTACGAAAGAAGATACGTTCCGTAAAATTAAGAGACTTTGTTGAATTTTAATTTTGTGTTTGTAAATTCTGTACATTTAATTAAGTTAATGTTAATTGTTTATTGGTTTAATGTAAGTGGCTATTGTTCGGGACGAACAATACTAAGGAAGGCGCAGTGTTACGACAGCGGAAGTCACGTGACGCTAGTAACACGTTATGAACTTCTAGAAGGATCCTGTCCCTTCCTGAATGCTCGAGCGTTTACTAGATTTCGGTATTCTTTTATATATAAGACGGTCAAGACGTGACGGCAACAATGTAATGTGTAATTGAACTGCGGACAGAGAAAGAGTATTGTTGAGTCAAGCACGTGAGATGTTTGTTGTGAATTATAGCGTTTGTTATAGCGCGACTGTTGAAATTAAGTGTATTGCAAAGTTGTATTCAGAAAGAATTAACCAGTTTTATTTAAGAAAGGACTTGTATCGGTAAAGTTTCTTCGGAAATAATTTTTACGGAAAATTAACTAACGACCAGAGACGTAACAATATATATTATTAATACCTTCGGTGTATAGCACGCAAGCAGATTTTGACATCAAATTTTGGGGTAAAAAAGTGCGTCTTTTACAACGAAAAATACGGCAATAGCTTTTATATTCAATTACACAGACCTGCGATGGTTTTATTGTCTTGAAATGTTTACATGTTCTACAGTAATTCCTGTTCGCTGAATCCGAAAATTATATCCATTTTTCTCCATCATGTACAGATTTTTCACAAAACGTCATAACACAATACATAAAAGAAAGACCACAACACTAGTTTTGAGAAAGACGTATATTTTACACACACACAAATCAAGTTGAATTAGGATGCATATTCGTTTGATATCAATGTTCTTCCTTTTTCTTTAGTTTGTTTGTATTTTTGTTAAAAACCGTAATAATAAAAAAAATGTTCATTGTGGTAAACGAAATAAGAATTTGATCTAAGTAAATTTTTTTTCTTCTTTCCTTTTTCTGAAAAATCCTTACCTGATAGAAAATATGAATATTATTTTCGAAATCTGGGTAGACGAATTATGAAAAATCCGTTATTAAAACCAAAACAACTTTTATGATGTTTAAATTCGCAGGCCTGAGTTATCGGAATATCAGGCTGTTACAGGATCTATATACTATGCTGCACCTTCTTTATCATAATATGGCAACCATTCCACACACCACAGATAAAGAACAGCTGTTCAAACTAACTAACTAATTGCTATTTCAAAAAGTATTTTCTGCAGAAAACTACCTCGGTTAACTTAAAAATTACATGCTGTTATTACGATATCAATAGTCGGGATTGGTCGTCATTTGAACAATATTTATTTTTGGTTCTTTTAAAAATTAAAGTGTCAATGAAACAAAAGTAGTAACCATTTAGTGTTGGCTTCTATCGTCTCCCCCCCTAAAAACAAACTTATATTTGTACAAATCACGCATAAAACATTCTGTGCAAAGCACGTGCACTGTTCAACCAATAAAAGTGAAGATGAAGGTTAAAGTTTTAGGTTATAGAATTAGTTGTAAGTTATTTCGAAGTAAGGAAGCGTTAGATCGGATAAGTTTATCGTAACGTGTAAGTATTTTCATAGATTTTTAGGTTGAAAGATTTGAAACTATTACATTGTTTTTTAATCTACTGAATCCGCTCTATCAATGAAAGTAAAGAACAGTAAATTTAATGTAATCAATAGAACTTTTAGTGTTGCTGAAGATTTATGATTAAGGCTTTTAAGTTTTAATAGAACTTCTACAGCCTTGGGTTGTACCATTTGAGTTTAATTTAATCATCAAGACGAATGTGGAGTGAAGTTTAAGTCTTTAGTTGTGTTCGTTTCTAATCATTACAAACGAGTAACAGTCGCCGAGTATTTCATTACAAATCGTTAATTAAATTTGATTTTAACAGTACAACTATTCGTAGAAGAAGATGATATGAATATATTGTTGAAAGTATTACAATATTACTTTAGGTTTTTATACTGTATTTATACAGTCAGATTTTGTACGCGGAAACATAAAATGATTTTGAATAATATTATTTTTGTGCTGTTAATAAACTACTAAAGAACAAGTTTTTGCAAATAACAAGCTGTAATACGATTTGATAGATGAGAGATTAAAAACATTTATTTTTCCTGCTTGTGAGTGGGTGGGTTTTTATAGTTTCTGACGATTTTTCTTCGTTTTTTTCTAACTAAGACGTAAGGAACTTTACATAACTGCTTGCTTGTAAGATAGTATTGCTATTAGGAAATGGAAAAGGGCGAATTCTATTTAATACACACGTATAGAAGCAAAATATAACTAGGACACCAAGGCTGCTTGGTTGAAAAAAAATTAAAGTTGTACCAACATTTTTATGTTATTTTTATTTATTTTTCTTAAGTTCTAGGTATCTCGACAGTTAACTTGCCACATCACAATGGTGGTGAAGGGTTCCAAAAAGGGTAAAAGTACTAAAGGTAAAATCCCTGAAAGTCCAGAACAATCTTCCACGAAAGTTGGAGATCCTGACAACCAAAACGATATAGTCCGAGATTCGCCTTTGTTGTCAGAGAACGAAATGAAACCACCGACTTCATCTTCCACTCCTTGGGACAAAGACAAGAAAATATTGGGGCCAGCCGCTCTTCGTGCAAAGACTTCACACCCCTCAGCACTGGTCATGGTTTGTGACGCAATTAACTCATTAGGCGAGTGTGACTTAATTCCTGGCTTGTTTTTATAACTATTTTCGTTCCAAAGTATATGTAAGAGATACGTTGTGAGTGTTTTAAGCCCCGTTTTTGTTCTTAATTACGACGTGATAGTGGTACATTGTTAAAAGTTAAATAATTTCATAACTTCCATATTTGATTTAGCCATGGAATATCGACTTTTTAACGACTTATTCACCAAATTGTTTGAGAGTCCATGACAATTTTTCGTGTTTCGTTATTCCTAACAGCAATGTAAGTGGTGGTGGGGGAGTATAAAAAATACTATCATTATGAACATTGCAATCGATCCAACTAATTTCTTCGTATATTTTACAGATAACCGAGTGTGTTTTTGGTCAGTTCTATGTATGTAACGGGCATATACATGGTCACTAAGGGGCCAGGTGGTTAGGGCGCTCGACTCGCAATCTGTGGGTCGCGGGTTCGAATCCCATCACACCAAACATGCTCGCCCTTTCAGCCGTGGGGGCG